CGTTTGGCCCGATACATCATTTTCCTATTGAGGCCCTTTTTGGCTCATCTTGGCTTCTTCGAGCTTCGAGGGGGTGATCTCCCGGGGGGATGCCCTCTAGTATTCGAGGTTGATTGAAGAGAAGCCTTGAATACTTGTTAAGTTCCCCTCAGGTAGCATATAGATGTTGCCTCGTTAAAAACCTTGCCGGAAAAACCCTTCTTGGGATAAAACCCGATCGAAGGAAAAGAGTGCAACACATGCTTTAAAACCGGAGGTCTTCAAGCTGGAAGGCGCTTCAATTGTTCTGATCGGACACCTGCACACAGGTTAGTGTAAGATGTAAAATAAAAAGGGAGACGTTTATACCTTAGTGGTGATGGCGCTTCGAGCCTCGATGTGCTTCAATCGTTTGCTCCGGGGACGCGGTACGGTCCTTTACTTGTTTATTCAGGTGTAGCCGAGAATGTATCCCGTGATTGCTACTTCCCAGTTTGCTTATCCTTTAGCTCCTTTGATGTTGAAGGCGTCGATGCTGGTGCCACATCGTGCACTACGAACATCTCTCTTGCTGCATGTTGTTCCCCATACATAGTTTTTATTCTGTCCTTGGTTGGAAACATCATCATTTGATGAAGGGTTGACGGTACTGCTCCCATGCAATGTATCCATGGCCTTCCGAGTAAGGCATTGTATCTCATGTCTCCTTCGATGACATGAAACTTGGAATTTTAGGTTGTGCCGGCCACGTTGACTAGGAGGGTGATCTCCCCTTTCGTCGTCTCGCTCGCCATGTTCGATCCATTGAGGACTCGAGAAGCGGGCACAATTTGGTCGAGCAGTCCGAGCTGCTCCACCACCCTCGACCTGATAATGTTGGCCGAGCTACCTGGATCCACAAGTACACGTTTAATTTGAAATGTATTCACAAAAAAAGAGATTACCAGTGAGTCGTTATGAGGCTGAGACAGGGTCTCGATGTCCTCTTCGCTGAATGTGAGAGCGTCCTCGGGTATGTAACCTCGAGTTCGCTTTTCCCTGGTGATGGATATTTTTCTTCGTTTGACAATGGGTTCCTGTGGGATGTCGACTACTCCAACAATCATGTGGATGACATGTTGTGGTTCTTCTCTTTCATTTTTCCTGTTCGCCTCTCTTTCCCGAAATAGATATTTGGCTCGGCCGCTGAGGAACTCTCGGAGATGCCCTTTGCTGATCAGTCGGGCTACTTCTTCTCGGAGCTGTCTGCAATCTTCGATCTTATGACCATGTGTGTCGTGGAACTCACACACCAGGTTGGGCTTCCTTTGTGATGGATCTAATTGTACGGGTTTTGGCCACCTAGTTTCTCTGATTCTACCGATGGCAGAGACGATGTCTGAAACATCAATGTCGAAATTGTACTCGGACAATCGGGGTGCCTCCATCGGTCCTGTATGTCTGTCTAATCCGACTTTGCCCACGAGTCCCCGATGATTCTGACCTCGGTCGATCCTCCGATCGTTTCGGGGTATGTTACTCCTCGGGGCGTTTCTTCGATCTTCGGTGTACGGTTGATACCTTTCCTTGTTTGTCCTTGATTCTTTTGCCAAGAGCCTGCTAGGATATATTGAGCCCTAGAGGGCTTCTAGTTGGTCGTCCTCGACCCCAATCATCGATTGATATCGGTTGTGGACATCCGACCAAGTCACGGCGGGATATTCTACCAAGTTCTGCTTCATCTGCTTCGAAGCTACCGAGCTTCTTCATTCAAGCCTTGAGTGAAGGCTTGTACTGCCCAATCATCAGAGATCGGTGGTAATTCCATTCGCTCCATTTGGAAACGGGATACAAACTTCCACAGCATCTCGTTTTCTCTTTGTTTGATCTTGAAGACGTCGGATTTCCTTGTAGCCACCTTAATGGCACCGGCTGTGCCTTTATAAAAGAATCTGCCAGCATGGCAAATGAATCTATTGAATTCGGGGCTAGGTCGTGATACCACATCATGGCCCCTTTTGAAAGTGTTTCTCCGAACTTCTTCAATAAGACGGATTTGATCTCGTCGTCCTTCAGGTCGTTCCCCTTTACAGTATAAGTATAAGCAGTGATGTGCTCGTTAGGGTCCGAGACTCCGTTGTACTTTGGGAGATCATGCATTCTAAATTTCTTCGCAATAGGCTTTGGAGCGATATTTGACGGAAATGGCTTTTGTACAAATTTCTTTGAATCTACACCCTTTAGGATCGGGGGTGCGCCTGGGTTCTGATCGACCCTTGAATTGTAGGTCTCCACCTTTTTGTCATTGGCTTCTATCTTCTTTTCGCCCGATTCAATCCTCTTTGTGAGGTCCTCGAGCATCTTTATGATAGCGGGATCGATTGCTGACCCGTTGTTGCTTGATCTTTCAGGTACTTGTTCGGCTCGAGGAGCCGCTTCCGGTGCCGCTGTGCTTGGAGTTTTTTGGTGGCTCTGTAGTTGAGCGATCGCCAGTTGTTGTGCCTGCAATATCTCAAAAATGACGTGAAGGCTAACCTCTCGTTCCTCCCGAGCTGGGGTTTTCTGAGCTTCTTCTTGGTTTTCTTGGCGTATACTCCTGTCAGTGTGGGAGCTTACATCAATGTGTTGGGCGTTGCGCGAGACCACATCCATGGGAATTGGTTCTGGTGCGTCCTCAGGTTTCGCGGTGGTATACTGACACCTAAAATAGCTACACCATTCTCTCCATGGTCCTCAGGACCGTTGTTCTCATGTGCATTCATTGAGTTTGACATTTTGACCTGAAATCAAAGATTCTTGGACATGAAAAAGCGTGAAGGATAACTTGCATTATGTAGTAACCCAGCAAGAAAACAATCACTATTATTTTTAGCCCCACGGTGGGCGCCAAACTGTTTACCTTGAAAATGGTAATTACAATTAGATTTGATTTTGTGGTTCTAAAAATACTTGATTTATTTTTATGCTAGTTGTTAAGCAGTAGATGCTAAGTGTGAGATTAGAAAGTAATAGCTTGAAGGATAGTGCGATACACAAACCGAGTGACTGGGAATCGGGGCCTCGAGCTAGCTTATACAGGGCCTCAAGGTCAAGCTAAGCGTTAGGCTTTGAACAGTCGATGGGGAACTAACAGTTCTAAGGGCCTTGATGAGGGCCTTTTATGATCAATGATGAGTAATAAATGAAGAACAATCAATGAAAACACAATAAATGCAAGTAAGGTAATAAATGTAAGTAATAAGATCAAAGGAGAAATATGTTTAAGTTACAGAGAAGAGAATGTTCTTGTTCTTGTATTCAAAGTTGTATATTGTCTATCCCTCTTGCAAAATGACAAGGATCCCCTTTATATATGAGGGGGAATCCCAACATGGTACAAACGCATTTATTACAAAGATACCCGGCTGATACAACCTTTTAATGCCACGGTACGGGCTTGTACTAGCCTAATAGACTTGGTCAGCTTTAATCACGTGCTTGGGGAACTCCCCGTTTTACCATCATAACCACTGACTTGTACTGCCCGAGGTCGAGCGCTGAGAACCCTCGGGATAGAACCTCGAGATGAGGCTCGAGCCTCCTGGATACATGCTTATGAAGTGTCATAATGGCCATAAAATCAGACTCTCTGATTTTCACCATATACACATAGTTAACTCATGCCACTTATGTGCTCACAACATGATAAAAGACAGAAGTAAAAGAGCAGCAGCATAGATAGCAAAAGGGAAACCACTTTCATTAACCAGAATTGGACTATTACAGTCGGGAGCAGAGTCATTGTTTTTCATCCACAGTCTAGAACAAACAAAAACATATACCAGAAATAACAAAACATCACCAACAACAACTTAAAAAGACAGACGCTGGAAACTGGACACTGAGGGAACATTCTTTAAGGGACAATGCAGGAAGGGGGCTTGGAAGAGGAAGCAAGAGTTTGCAGGACAAGATCCATGCGAGCATTCACGGACAGTTGCTCATTGAGCAATCTTTCTTTCAGGTCCTCCACTTGTTTCCTTAGATCAACATTCTCCTTTGATAGGCGTGCAACCTCTGCGCTGTGAGAACCACTGGAACCAGGTACCTTTTGCAACTGACTAAGCTGATTCTCAAGAATCAGGTACCTTTTGCGTTCCTAGACTTCATCTTCCGGATCTCCTCTGTGGCACTACTCTAAGCATTTATCAGTTGAGAGATTGTCGAAGTGCTTCCAACTCCTCCGACATTGTCAATACACTCACACTTCTCCAAAGTAGTTTATGAAAAAGATTGTTTTTTGGTGCCAACCATGGCCTGACCTAGAGGTACTTTGAAAAACTCAAAGACCTTTGTGAGAAGGAACCATATAAGGTAGTCCAGGATTCTCGTCTTCTCTACCTTCTCATATTGTGAATCATTATGGCAGGCAAATTGATGAAGGAGAAATTGTCCAAAGTCTCCATAAGGAATATGTCAGCTTTGGATGCAACAGATCTTCTTTCAGCGCGGCGAAGCAATACTTTGTTAACCATCTCAAAGAGCAGCACATAAACTAGAAGGAGTTCCTTCTTATGCACATGTTCCCCATGTTGTACTACCTTGTCCTTGACAATGGCATTTCTGAAGTTTGGTGTGCAAGCACCCTGAGCAGATGACACTCCTTCGGTAGGAACACCCAGAATTGACCCTAATAAGGCAGAGTCCATCACTTTGTCCACCCAATTTACCATTACACAGATTTGATCACCATCTACTGTGAAGAGGCTGGTGTAGAAACTCTGCACCTCGTTCTCGTACACTATAGGAGCCTCTCTTGTAAACAAATTGGTCCACTGTTGAGCACCACAAGTATCCACTAATTGTCTCATCCCAGCACTCTCTAGAATGTCAGAGGCAAATGTGCGGCCCCACAACACTTTCTGATTCCCCATCTTCCTTTTCTCAGACCTCAGAGTTTCACTCTCTTTTCCTTTCTTGATAGAACCAGGTTCCTTATCATCATCATCATCATCCCTCTTTCTTTTCACTGGCTTGCCAACAGATTTTTCCTTCTCCAGTGACTAGCTCTGTCTATGTTCACCAGATTTCTCCACTTTTTCCTCATCAGACTTGTCACCACGCTCCTTCACTGTCTTGTCACCATAACTTTTTGCCAACTTTTTACTAGAACCAGCAACAACACTCTTGGAAGAACTCTCAGCACCCTTAGAGGTGTGATTTTTGGATTGAGAGAGAGAGTGCTTCTTCCTGGAAGACTTACGGGACAGGGAACTAGGTTCCTCTTTGGTTTCCTCATCCACATCCACTTCAGGAACATCCTCTCCTTATACACCTTTTCCATCTTTGACCAAGCTTCTCCTTCTTCTAATCCTTTTACTCTTGTTGAGGGAAAACTCTAGAGCCTCCTTTTGCTGCAACCGTGTAGTAGGTCGCTTAGGAGGTGGCTCTGAAGTTACCACTGGCTTAGTCCTAGCCCTGATAAAGCTAGCATACACCAAATCATTTGCGTCTTCTTCACTGTCAGGATTTGTCTCAGGCACCACCATATTCAAAGGCTCAGCATTGAAGCGGGGAGAGGGAGTAGGATCAATGCTGACCTGGGAAGATGACTCTTGACTTGGCTTCTCCATGGAGGGATGAGGTTCATTATTTGGGGCCCTAGTAGCATCATCTTGTGCCGGCTGCTCAAGTGGCACAATTGCTCCCTCTTCTTCTATTTCTTCCCCCTGAGGCTCAGACCCTCCTGCACATTCCTCTATAATGACCCCTTCTGACGCAATGGAATCATATTCTCTATTTCTTTATTTTCTTGTGGTTCCATGGCGATTTCAACAGATGAAGGAGTGATGCCTTCAGAGTCATCACTTGTCCAGGACATCTCATTCTCTTCATGACTAGTCACCCGTTCTTCACTCAAGTGCTCAGCCATGGATAGAGAGAAGGTTCCTGAACAAGGTTCCCTTATTCACCCTGTTGACTCTGTTTGACTGGTGATACTAGAGGAGGACAGACATCTTCAGACTTGCTTAGAAGAGGAGTGGACTCGGAGAGGGTAAGAAGGGGAGTGAAGTGTGAAGGAGACTTTTCTTTAGGGTTTGGAGAGAGGTTCACCGCTGAACTTCTCACTGGGGAGGACTCAATCGCAGTATTATCAGGCATACTAACAATTGCTTGATTTTCAGAAATGATGAGATTATTCTCGAGGGACTGTGGATTTGAGAAGAGAGAAGACAAACCGGGAATTTTGAGTTTGGAAGAGAAAGGGTTGTGATGTTGATTTAATTATGATGAGGGACCCATTCTGAAACGGCAGCACCCTTTTGCTTGGGAGATGTAATGTTTATAGAAAGGACTGACGTTTGGGTTGTGACATATTGGATTAAGAGACATGACTTTAATGAGACTGTCACACTGATGATGATGTGGTATTGTTTTTTGTTCATTTTAAATTGTGTATGAAAGAACAAAGAAATCACTAACCTACGTTAGAGAACTAGGTTCCCTGATAGGTCTAGCAAGTGAGTTTTATCCCCTTATTCATCATGCACTGCAGAATCTGCTTCTGTAGTCATCATGCATGTCTACCTGTAATGGTATAGAGGTGAGTTAGACTTAGCTAGAAAACACTTTAGCTAGCTTTTACCTGACTATGACTTTCATATCCAATAATGAGGAACCAGGTTCTCAGTTGTGTTTCACCATTCCCCAGTGCAAGGCAATTTTTCTCAGAGTGCTTTCTTCCCAGGGCTTTTGGTGAAGATGTCTGCAACTTGATCTTCAACAATCACTGTATTTGGCCCTCTTGAGTTGGACTCAAGTTCTTCCAATTTGTTGCTTGGTCCATAGTACTTGACCACAATAGGATACTGATTGTGCATATTCTGCTTCAGCTGTTGAGAGTGTCATTGAATTCTACTTCCTTGAACCTTATGAGACAAGAGAGGAACTCAGAGACTGTCCCAATTCAGGCAAGCTTTTCCTATCCATTTACTTGGAGGACAGTAGAGAACCAAGTTCTTTGTTCTACTAGGATACCTCAAGATACTTACACCATCCTTCAGATGAGAATACCTTGGATTTGACTGAGACCTTGCACAGAACTCAACTATGACCACGATGCTTGCAGTGAGATATAGGAGTGATTCAGTGATGTGTCTATGGAAAAGCCCTCTTTCCAACAGCTTGTTTTTCAGCTTCTATTGTTGTAGACGCGGGACCTGGTTCCTAGTTGGAATGAATGGGCGTTCCCTACCTTGATTAGTATTTTTGTTCTCTTTTAAGACGAGTATGTCTGGAGGATTCCTCCATCTCTTCTACCATCAGATTTTCAAGGCTGACCCTTCCCATTGTTGAGAGTGTAATGGTTATACCCAGATATCCTCAATTGAATCAGCAGCTTTGGTCAAGATGTTTGCAAACCCTTCATCAATTAATATTGATCGTGCCTAAATTTCCAAGAGTCCTTTTCTTCTTTTCAACAACTCCATCTGAGGTGGTGTTCTTTTGAGCTAAGTTGTTGAGTAGTTCTTCTTTCAACATAGCATTCATCCACTTATGGCATTCAAACCTGTTCCATGATTTTGTCTGATGCAAGCCATGTTTGTTTCTATTGGTACCTGGATCTTCTTAACAAAGACCACAGTTTCTTGAAAGATCTCATCCTTGGTTCTGAAGTGCTGTCTACCCCTTTTTTGGGCTTGAGAGAAGATCTGATATGCTTTTCTTTTACAGAGTCATTGCACACTTCATGTTACTTGTTACTCATCTTGATCAGATCACAAACTAGGTTCTTCAGATTTAGTTTTTTAGAGATAGACGACATGCAATGCTCCAGACTTTTGTCCCATGATTCGGTATTATTTTCAATAGCTTCCAACCAACTATGTCACCACTGTGCAGAAGCTCAATCATAGCAACATACGTGCTCTAGTGTCTTTTGGCTACAGCAACACCTCACCAGTCATAGGATTTGAGATTGTGAATATCCTGGACAACACCTTATTTCCCTTAACACAAATTTTCCAACTCCTAGAGCGTGCCCCTTTTTTAACCATTTTCAAAAGGGTACACTCTGTCCTTTGAGCAGCCACTGTTCATATGTCATTATTGGCTGTTTTCCTTCACTGCTCCCTGCACACAGAAATCAAGAATTAGATTTAGGAACCCAAACAAGTTTGGGTCCCTTGTTAAGAGAAAAAGGACGAATAAGTGCTCTCTTAGTCCAAGCAGGCAGAATGCATTTCCTATTTGATGGTTTCCTATTTGACGGACCAGGTCCTCTTGCAGTAGTTTCTCTCTCAGCAAAGACTTTATTTCTCTAATAAGACTGAACCCTGGCCATGCGATTTTCCTTGAGGTGCCCATTGTTGCCACAGTGGGTACATAGCCAATTGTCGGGTACAGTAACATACTTGTTATGAGGATTGTAGGGAATCTTTTCCCTTTGAAACCCAATCCCCTACCTGTTTCCCCCAGAGTTGGTGTACATGGCAGTGATAGCATCCGAGGACCAGGTCCACTTAAGAGATTTCTCAAGATCACTCTTTACTTTCCCTAGTTCTTCCTGAAGCTTTTTATTTTGCTCAAGTTCAGCACACAGACTAGTCTTTACCAAGTTTAACTCATTTTCAAGATTAATGTGTGTTTCACTTGCAACTTCCTTTCCCTTTTCAGAGTTTCCAGGCCTATTTGCAGTTATAAAATCCTCAATTGTTTCCTTCAAGTCTACTACCACCACTACTAGGTCATCTCTTTCTTGCTCAATGATAGCAACTCTCTCGGTCAAGGTTTCCTTTTCTTTACTTGCACACTCAATGGTTTCTTTTAAGTCCACCACAACCACCATTAAATTATCTCGTTCATGTTCTATACAAGCAATTTTCTCTTCTAAGGCATTCTTTTCTCTTTTTCAGGTTCTCTATTGTTTCTTTCAAATCAACTACAACGACTACTAAGCCATCTCTGGTTTGTTCAGCTTCCCCTAGTTCCATAGTTAAAGCATCTTTATCATTGATAAGACTATGGTAAGCATCAATTAGCTTATTTGCTAATGACATGAGCTTTTTAGGAGAGTAAGATTTCAGATTTCTCTGAACATCCAGAAAGTTTACCTCATCGCCGTCGTTATCTTCATCGTCATCAGATTGAGCCATTAGAGCAAAGACTGAATCATACTCAGTTGTTTCATTTTCCACTGCCATCATTGAACTGCCACAATGGTCATCTTCTTCTTCAGATTTTTTGGAGGAGTCTCCCCATGCAGCAAGAGCTTGCTTTACAACGTTGTCAGCATCATTCTTTCTCTTTAAGCGTTTATCAGGAACCTGGTTCCTCTTTGCTTCTTTGTCAAAGTTGTTATTATACTGATCTTGCTTTAGGAGGGGGAAATCCTTGATGAAGTGTCCTGGCTTGCCACATTTATGACAGAAGTCATAATTTCTGGGCTGGCTAGAGCTTCCTCTTTTTGGAATGCCTCAATTCCTGTGAACCATCTTCTGGAACCTTTTTGTCAAGTAAGCCCTGTCCCCGTCTTCACCACTTGAGTCATTGTTGTCCGTCTTGAGGACCAGGTTCTTCTCTCTCTTGGGCTCTCTTCTTTCATTGTCCTTCTTCTTCTTCATTCATAGGTTTTCAAGTTTCCAACAAGTTCATCCATGGTCAGTGTCTGCAAGTCATTAGCCTCTGTAATGGCGTTAACTTTGCTTTCCCAAGAACTGGGCAGCACTAAGAATTTTTCTGACAAGCTTGTTTCTTGGAATACTTTCACCAAGAGAGTGAAGCTCATTGATGATGGAGGTGAATCGAGTATGCATATCTTGGATGGATTCGTCATCTTTCATCTTGAAGAGCTCATATTCTGTTGTGAGCATATCAATCTTGGATTGCTTCACCTGAGTTGTTCCTTCGTGAGCTGTCAGAAGAGCCTCCCAGATCTCTTTTGCTGATTGACAAGCTGATATCATATTATATTCATCAGGACCAATACCACATACAAGAATTTTCTTTGCTCAAAAATTCTTTTCTATGGCCTTTCTATCAGTGTCATTGAATTCTTTGCTCGTCTTGGGAATGGCTACAGCTGGATCACCAAGGTTCTTTGTAGGGACAAAAGGTCTGTCACATATTACATCCCATAATTCAGAGTCTTCAGCCATGATGAAGTCGTGCATCATAGAATTCCACCACCCATAGTATTGACCATTAAACCTAGGAGGTCTGTACGTGGACTGGCCTTCTTCAAAGTGTGGAGGAGTAGCCATGAGGATCCTTTCTAGGTGTTAACCTGATAGAAAGAACCTGCTCTGATACCAATTGATAGAATATATGGGTCCACCAACTTTTATAGAGAACAAGGTTCTCTATCAGGTTCGACAGTTACACATAGAGAGAACAGAAGTTAAATGACAGAAGGAATTTTACGTGGAAAATTCCCTGCTCAACGGGATTAAAAACCACGACCCCCTTGTAGGATTTCAACTCACTACTGAGCAACTTTCATATTAAAACCTATACAACCTAGGAATTAAACTCATAATCCCTCACTAACTTGTAATACACCTATTATAAACCACTTTTCAATGACTCTATTACAAAGACTTTAAAACTTGACTAACACTAGCAAAGACTTAAACACCCAGGTTTAAGGTTTACAAAGATGTTCCTATAAAGTGCTTCTAAATAAGTTGGATAGGAATTATAATTTGAAGAACTATTACAAGGTTACAACTCAACTAAGGACACAAAATAACTCGATATGGGAACTGGTCCGTGGTTGCTTTGTTCTTTGTTCTTGATGCACTTGAAACTTGCTAGCTGAATAGTCACGTGAATTAGATTGAGTAAGATCTCTAAGTGTTCAAGCGCTTTGTTTTACCTCCCTTGAATGCATATATACATATGTGACATCACTGCAATGATGTAAGCAAGGTG